ACTGCAGCAAACGGAAGGGAAGCTGTGACAGGAGAGGAGGCCGTCCCACCATCCCTTGGCTTTCAAGCAAATCCCTACTCCTGGGAGTCTCCGGCGGACCAGCCCGTGCGCCTGGGCAGGGCTCCAGCGCCCCGGGGCCCAGCACCCCGCGCGGGTGCGCAGGGAGGGCCTGCAGCACCGGTACTCTTCTGCAGCTGGTCCACGGGCCGGGCTTTAGGAAACCTCCTGGTTTTTAAGCCCCTCGCTCTAGTCATCAGCAAAAACAAACAGTGGAAAAAAGAGTGGCTCTTTTTAGGTATTGAAGGAAATAACAATAACCAGGCCGCTGATTAGCCAGGAAGGGAGACTTACGGGAGCAGAGACAGCACCTTCACAGCGTCAGAGCATTCAGCACACCAGAGAGAAGCCTGATCTAAAGCCTGGCCAGATGGACAACCAAAGCCACCAAAGAGGTCAAGTGTTCCATAGTCAAGAATCCGATGTGAACGCCACTCTCCTGTCTGAAGGGAGGGCAGACCCCTCTCTCACTTCAGCGTTTGCCATCTTAGAATCATAGAATCATTAAGGTTGGAAGAGACCTCCAAGATCATCGAGTCCAACCAGTCCAGCCGTCTTCACTGGCTCTTTTAGCATCGAGGAGACGCTGCCGCTCAGGGCTGCGGGTTTTGACAGCTACTGCACTTCACACCTGGTTTTTGAGGAAAGGGAGGCTGTCGTGCCCATTCCGGAGTGAATGGAGACTAATCCAGCCCTCGCTCGGCTGGGGGGGGGGACGGGCAATAGGGCCAGGCCTGTCCCCAGCCCTTCTCCCTAACTCTGGGAGATGAGGAAGCCCTGCGAGGGGCTCCCCCACCGCGGAGCCTAAGTGATGGCGGGGCCGGCACGGGCCGCCTCCCGTTGAACGAACGCCACCCAACCGGTGGGCCAAATCCTGCTCCTGGAGGTGCGTTCAGCTCCTTGGTGAACGGGTGTATAACCAAAACTCAGTAAGCCCAGGCTCAGGGTCTTTGCCATCGAGAACTTGAGCTCTGAGCACCTAACACCTTCTCACAGCAAAGCAAGCAGACCCGGACGGCGGATCCCCTGCAGTGCCGTCTCCACGTTCCCTCCTAAGAGCTACCGACAGATTTCCAGAAGATTTGAAAAGTTCCGAAGAGAGAAACACTGTAATGAATACCTGATGCCGTCCTAGTCCAGCATCTCCGCTAATGAACCGCAGTACCTCCAGGAAGATCAATTAATGCCCTGGCTCCTTTCCTTTCCTGGATCTTTTCTCCAAGCATACAGGGTGAGTATGTATATTTATTTATTTGTCGTCATTTCCTACCCAGGGAGGAGCAGGATAATGAACTGCGTGCGTCAGGGAAGATGAATCTGAGATACTAGGGAGCAGTGCAGTAAAGAGATTAAAGTGTTATTATTGTTGGGTTTTTTCCCCCATGGTCCGTTGTGACAGCTCGGCCGTCATCTGTAAAAAATGTCTCAGAGAGAGATAATCATCGGAAACTCAATAAAGCGTCAGGGGAAGCCTCGTCTACCATCAATCACTGGGTGCCTGGAAATTTTCAGCCCTCTGTCTCCCTTCCTGCCATCCATATAAATGTCTGTAATATATTTTGTGCAGTGTTTGTGGAGCATACCCTCTCGATTTGGATGTTTTTATGAAAAAATATTTATACAGGAAATATGTAAATGGGTAAAAAAAAGTAAAAAACAAAGGCAGTTTCTCTCTCTCCCTCTCTTTTTAAAAATGCAACTGAATTTATTCTTTTTAATAAAACATGTCAACCAAAGAATTAATGCAACTTCTTACTGAGTGGCCTTATCTTTTCTTCACCCCAAAAATATATAACATTATAGAGGGATGAATGCAGACAAAAACAATTAACTTTATTGGTTGATATACTTTGTCTTAAATAAAGTCCACGTACATGCATTATGTATTGGCATTCCATTGTTCATTTTTTAATGTTGTTTCATACATTTTGCATTCGCTGCTACAGCGATCTGATATACGCGCGTTCTCACTTCCATCAAGGAGCAGGTCTATGGCACGGGTGGGTTACGGTGAGGGATGAGAGCGGAGAGCTTTTAAAAACAAAATAACGCCCTGTCAAAACCGTCCCCTCACTGATTCATCTTCTTAACTCAACCTGAGTTTTATGAAAGGTTCAAATATGACACCTTCATTAGACTTCACACAGCTTGCAGCTCTTAGCGGTGCGGCAAAAGGCACAGACGGACCAATGGATAACGTCACCGTGCGATTCTGGCTCTGCAAACCGTGCAGGGCAAACAGAGGCTCTGGACAACCCGTCTGGCTTCCTCCCATTTTCTCCTCACGGTAGCTAGGAAAAGGTTTAACTTGAAAGCGGAAGGTGGGAGCCCACAAATGCAGCCACTGTGGCTGCAGCAGTCCCCCGGAACGCGAGTCCCGGCGGGCGGGCGGGGCCTGGCAGGGGGGTGGGGGTGG